GATTGATGAACACCTGACCTTTAAAGATCATGTTGCCTCTTGCTCATTCATGCTGCTTTGCGCTGTATAACATATGAAATATCAGACCATACCTAACACAACATGCCACCCAGCTCCTGGTGCAATCTACTGTCATCTCCCGCCTCGATTACTGCAATGCCCTTCTAACTGGTCTTCCACGCTGTACTGAGACCTCTTCAAATGGTCCAGAATGCAGCGGCGCGTCTGGTCTTCAGCCAAAAAGAGCACACGTCATCCCTCTGTTCATTAAGCTCCACTGGCTACCGCTAGCAGCATGCATCTTATGGGCCATTCCCACCTGTACCGGGTCGGCCCGGGCCGGGTAGCCCCAGTCGGCCCCAGCCTGGCCCGGTTGATTCCACACATCCTTGTCTTAAGCCCATGTGGGCTGATTCTACCCACCAATCAGAGGCTTGCTCTAATGGAAGGTGCGAATTTGCTGTCAGCAGTGGGTGTGTTGGCCCTGGTCAGCCTGAAACAGACCCCCTCGAGAAGAGGGCTGAGAATGAGCCTTGGTTGGCCCGGAAAAATACCAGGCCACCCAGATATGTAAACAACCTACGCTACCCGGCCCGGGCCGATCCGGTACAGATGGGAATGGTCCAAAATACAAATTGCTAACACTAGCATACAAAGTCCGAGATGGTACGGCTCCCATCTACCTGAATCCTCTTGCAAAGGCTTAAGTCTCAGCCCGGCCGCTCCGGTCATCACAGGATCATCGGCTAGCAGTGCCTACACCACGCTCGGGACAATCCAGACTCTTCTCATGCATCGTTCCACAAACGTGGAATGACCTACCAAGCACTACCAGAACAGGGGCTTCCTTTTCAATTTTCAAGAAACTCCTGAAGACCCTGCTCTTCAGAGAGCATCTTCTAAACTAGCACCCTCCCTGCACCCGTCCCCCCTCTCTACTGTCCACTCCTTGTTCCCTACTCTCCATGAATGATGTCAAGTTGTTGTTGTTGTTATTGTTGTTGTTAGCCTCTAGGGCAACATGCCGATTATCACTTGTAAGTCGCTTTGGACAAAAGTGTCTGCTAAATACATAAACATGGTCACGAGCTTTGGGTAGTAACCGAAAGAACGAGATTACGGATACAAGCGGCTGAAACAAGTTTTCTCCGCAGGGTGGCTGGGCTCTCCCTTAGAGATAGGGTGAGAAGCTCGGTCATCCGGAAGGTGCTCGGAGTAGACCCGCTGCTCCTCCACGTTGAGAAGAGCCAGTTGAGGTGGCTCAGACATCCGGATGCCTCCTGGACGCCTCCCCAGTGAGGTTTTCTAGGCACGTCCAACTGGGAGGAGACCCAAGGGAAGACCCAGGACATGCTGGAGGGACTATGTCTCTTGGCTGACCAGGGAGCGCCTCGGTTGTTCCCCCGGAGGAGCTGACCCAAGTAGCTGGGAAGAGGGAAGTCTGGGCGCCTCGGCTTAGGCTGCTGCCCCAGAGACCCGACTGGATAAGCGACTAAAAATGGATGGATGGATGGATGGATGCAATGTCACTGTGTGATATGAAACAAGACCCAAATACATAAAAAATGTCTAATTGCAAATAGAAAACACCTGCAAAGAGTTCCTGAGCCTTAATATTGTCACTCTGTCTAGTTGAATTACTGAAATAAATGGACTTTGCACCAGATTAAAATTTTTCCAGTTTCACTTGTTTGTATAATTGGATGTTTTTATTAACATTTCTATTATTCATAATGTAGTAAAAACTTATATGTAAAAACATATATATGAATACAAATCCTTAAAAATGACAGTAGAACAGGCACAACTATGATCTAGGACTTAGATTGACTAACTTTTAACACCAGAGCAGGCGTGACATAGTCTGAGAACGATCAAGAACACTAACTGGTTCCAGTTGGATGACTGGAGGATAATGGGAAGATAAAAGATCATGACGAGAAATTAATCTGACGCCTGAGCTGTGAACAGGTGAGCGGACCTTCCTTACATGGGAAGTCCTGTCACGTCAAGAAGGGGATGGCTGCAGACCCGCAGATTCACACCTGTAGCAGCGAATCTGGTGTGATCTCCAGCCTGATCACAACTTTCTCGTTCCTCGCTGCCCCTGATGCACTTAAACATCCGCCCCTTTAGCTCCCCATCAGCTGATGATCGCTTCAACATGCCTCGCTGCTGAATGATAGTAACGCACGTGATGTTTAGACAGTCACTCGTCTCAGAAACATATGAACCGACAGAATTGTTTAGAAAATTATCAGAAAGATTTCAAAGTGTTTCTGCTACTTTAAGACACTTTGTTGGTGATTGTTTACAGTGTAGTGAGAATGCGGAGCATTTTACCAGCTGCAGCCAGGTGCCTCTCGTTCATCTGACTACTTTCATAAACTACTGTTAGGGCATAAAATTATTCTGTCTGGTGCTTTCAGCGCTGGACAAATGTTACATAAATGTTAAAAATATAGTTTACCTCGACTTTTGTAAAGTTGCCGGCGCCACCGGGCAGCTGGCAGTAGCAGACATCAGAGACTATCGCTGAAAAATGTCCTCGACGTGGACTCCTTATAGTTTTCAGGAAGGTATTTTTTATTTTTTTACAAGTTAAGATAAAAGGCTGACGTGTTTTCTAAATACTGCATCAGTCCAGGCAAGGCAATGTCTTCAAAATATTCCAATTTAGTAGCCGTTAGCAGAGCACTGTGCTGCGTTGTGTGCGTCAGTAATATTCGGTCTACGAGGAAATCAAGCAATGACAAAGAAGAAGAAAATATCTTTTCTATAGCGCCTCTCAAGATAAAAATCATGAGGCGCTTCACAAAAACAAAAAAATATGAAATGTAAAAAATAATTTAGAAAATGGTTAAAAATATATTTAAAATAAGCAGAAAATAGACAATTGTGATTAAAAAAACGTTGAGAGAGAGTGAACAGGAAAGAGGGAAATCAGTGGATCCTGAGGAAGGTGGAATAGGTGGGGAGAGCAGAATAAAGAGAGAGAGGTGAAGAAGGTCATACAAAAGCCAGCTTGAACAAGTGAGTCTTCAGCTGCTTTTTAAAGGAGACCACTGAGTCCACTGATCTCAGGCTCAGGGGGAGAGAGTTCCAGAGTCTGGGGGCCACAGCAGCAAATGATCTGTCGCCTTTGGTCTTTAGCCTGGTGCTGCACAACCAGTAGGCTTTGGTCACTGGACCTCAGGGACCTGCTGGGGGTGTAGGGACTAAGAAGATCACCAATGTAAGATGGTGCTTGTCCATGTAAGGCCCTATAGACCAGAACCAGGATCTTGAAATGAACCCTGAAGTTGACTGGCAGCCAGTGAAGCTGGAGGAGAAGCGGGGTGATGTGGGTGTGTTTCGAGGACTTGGTCAGAAGCCGAGCACAGGCATTCGGAACCACCTGTAGACGGTTCAGGGAGGTTCTGCTCAGACACGTGAAAAGAGAGTTACAGTAGTCTAAGCGTGAGGAGATGAAGGTGTGGATAACTCTCAAGTTCAGAGCGGGACAGAATGGGACTCAGCTTAGCAATGTTCCTGAGATGGAAGAAGGAATAGCGAACAAGAGAACTGACATGAGAATCCAGCGTGAGAGCTGGGTCAAAGTAGCCTAGTGAACTAGACCAAATTCTTGCTTTGCAAAGTTTGGTCTAGGAACGCTCCACTGGAACCTCTGCAGCCCCTAACAACATTCTGGGTGGCCAATCACAGCTCTCTAGAGGGGTTTCAAACACAAAGAGCTGTGATAGGTCCATAATGGTGGGCCAATCATAGTGCTCTATCTGCTTGGTGAACAAATCACAGAGCTTTATCCGCTTTGTGGGCCAATCAGGGCACTCTATATGCCTGGTGGGTGGGATGATGCAACAGAATGAAACAAGAGTATGTCACATTCATTGTCCAGTGGAATGTGGAGATCATTTGAAAGACAACGGTAGAACCTGCCCCACAACCGAGAGCCGTCAATGGAGCGTTGCCAGACTAATTAATACATTTATTTATTTAGTCTGGCTTGCCAGGCTAGGTTCAAAGGTCACACCAAGATTCCTGACAGAAGGTTTGGTGTGAGAAGCAAGCTGACCAAGAGAGTCCCTGACTTTGGGAACCAGCTTGTCTGGGGCACAGATGAGGATCTCAGTCTAGAGTCTAAGCAGGAGTGTAACAGTTGCAGCTTAGACATCTCAGGGGGCTCAAAGGAGTTGTACAATTGGATGTCATCTGCATAAAGATGGTAGGAGATTCCTTTGAAGGAGCTCAGGATGTAGGTTCCACCTTGCTTGAAATGCAAGCTGTGATTGAGTGCATGAATTTTTTTATGCTTCATTTTTTTCTAACTAATTAATCATAATTAACTTGTTAAAGTCCCACCTCTAATTAAAAGTTTAGCAGATGAGATGGGAAAGATCATTTCTTAAGTCTAAGTGACCTGCAGGAATGTTTATTGCATAAATGATTAAAACTACTGTATGTTTTTTGAGACTTCAAGAGGAACGTGTCATTTATGAAGTGGTAAAGATCTCAGACCAGCAGACGTGTAACTATTTCTCAGTTCATGCAGAAACTTTGAATCAGGAAAAAGACATTGGATTGGAATTGGCTGTTTGTCCTTTCACCTGAAACCAGATGCAGCCTCTCTGGGTCTGGAATGGGCCTAATGTTGTAGGATTATTGTCATGTTACTGGGAAATACATCCAGACCAGCTGGGTTTGACTTTCTAACAGCGTCATGTGGAATGTAAACAGATCATTTGGTCGTTAAACCACATCCTTCTGATGACTTAGTCTCTACTACACACACACACACACACACACACACACACACACACACACACACACACACACACACACACACACACACACACACACACACACACACACACACACACACACACACACACACACACACACACACACACACACACACACACCCTTATCCTGCTTGTTTTTTGTCGTTCTGTTGTCGTTTTAGCATTTAACTCTATTTTCCCGCCCTTTATTTGCTGCAGGAAGAGTCAGAAACCCTTCACCTCGACAGTGTCAGCCCTCAGTGCTGGGTAAAACTTTACAACAGGATTCCAAATCCTTTTTATAAAACTATGAGTTGTTTTTGAACGTCTTCAGTCTGCTCATGTCTCTTCTTTCCCAGGAACCAGTTTTTGCGTCTGTATTTTCTATCAGTACGCCCCAATTTATCATGTGTTTCAACCAGGTAACCAAGTTTCTGCATGGCAGCTTTACGGCTGCTTACTTGATTTGGAGTGATTAGTTTGCTGTGAGAAGTCTCTGGTGAATGTGGTTTTTGCTCTTTGCAGCTGATGTGTGAAGTCTCCCTCACTCTAATGAGCCAGCTGCGTCTCCAAAGGACGTTCCTCAGTGTGCAAATGTTGCATCTGAAAGCAACACTCTGAGTTTACACTTTGCTCGTAATCTCAGGGTGTGCTTGCAGTGAACTGTCAGACTTTTCTTTTTTTCAAAACCATTTTTCCAGTTTAGTGGATTTAAAAGCTCAAAGACACACAAAATAAAGAGTGCATGGTGCAGATAGTTTGTTTGGAGCAGTGTTTTGTTTTTGTTTACATTTTTCTCCTCTTTACTGTCCATTATTGACCTGTCTTTGTCCATACGTTGTTTGGTTTATGTCTCTTCCCAGACCAACCTGTCCTTTGAGGCTCAGGAAGTCTCCTCCCCCACAGAGAGTCCCACCAGGCCTCAGTGGAGACAGAAAGTGATGCATTTGTTTAGTGTTTTTATAATTTAGATGTGCGTTTCTCTGTATGCTGAAATGTCTGTTTCTCTCGTTCAGCATAAAGGAGACGAGCTTGAGATGGACGAAGCCGAGAAGAAAATGCAGCAAGAAAATGGAGAACAGGAAGGTGGAGGTGGTGCAAAGAGGAGTGAGTCTTCTTCCTCTGGGCTTCACTTTGATGCGACCATGTTTAAATTTCCCTCTCTGACTTTTATTTCATGTTCACGCTTCGGATCCAGGATCGTCTGAATCAGACGGTGAGGACATTTCCAGTAAGAAGACAAACGGCACTGATCCAGCGTGCATGTTTGAAGGTCAGAGCACTGATGGCTTTCCTTTAGGGAGCGATGTGAAGCAGAGGCTCATCGTGTTATTTATTGCTGCAGCTCTGCAGAGCACTTCGAACTCGGAAGCTGCTCAGGAGGAGATGCCTGCCTGCGAGTCCAACAGGTCCGGTGGAGGTTTTCCCTGTGAACAGTTACCACCTCCTGCCTGCGGTCCTACGTCCTGCGGAGGTGTCGCTGCCTCGGACAGCGAGCAGGACCTGGGAGTCGTCTGCCAGAGCAGCACACATATGTGAGCACAGTTTTACTCTCGTTTGCAGAGGTGCTGAAAAAAATCGATTCAAGTCTGAATCGGGATTCTTATTTATTAAGATTCAGAATGGATTCATAAAGGTTCAGAATCGATTCCAAGAACTCAAATATTTGGCATGTTACAGGTTTGAGATGCACTTTTTTGATCTTTGTCAGGAGAGTCAGTACTCTGATTACTTTTGTGGTCCCATAAATTGAGATGATTTATGTTTGAATCTGCTGATAAGAGGGCACTTGAATGTAATTTTTTCCATACTCAGAAATTTGAGATATTCTCATATTTATTTTCTAAGTTGATAAACAAGTACTCAGGATTACTCGTGTAACTTATTTCTACACATACTTGAAAATTATTTGACCGTATTACTTTAAAAGCCACTGTTAGGTAACTACAGATTTGTTATATTTTACAAGGTAAGCAAAAATAAATGTTGCCTTTTGGTCAAAAGATTGTTTCTGTTTACAGTTTTAGAATCACTTTAGTTTACATAGTAAATTAGCATTTTTGGAGTATGACCAGTTTAAAGTCTAATAAAAATGTCCCATAGCTTTAACTAACTTGTGCAACAAAGTAGTTCATCCTGGAGCTGACACTCTTTGTTAATACTGATTGTGAATCGATTTAAATTGAGAATCGAGAATCGATTCTGAATCGAATCGGCACCCCAAGAATCGGAATCAAATCAAATCGTGAGTTGCTCTAAGATTCACATCCCTATCAGTTTGATTTAGGAGAAAATAATGCAGCAACATGTTTATTTAATTCTGCTAATTTTTTAATTCCTACCATATTTTCTTCTTTAACAGTTTTCATGTCAGCTGGTTTGGAACTAAAATGTGTTTTGTTAATTTTTTTGGAGGGGGTGTGTAATCGAATCCAAGCGTCTTTTTTTGTTTGTTTTTTTGTACGTTCATACTGTGTTTTATCCAATTACATTACAGTTCTTTTTTTTACCACAGCTAAAGTGTTATTTTTACCTTGTTTTTACTGACGTTTCGACTATCATAGCCTTCTTTAGAGATTTGCTGATGTTGGCAGTGTTACTTCCTTCTCTGTTTACCAGCGGGCAGCAGAGGACATATTGCCCTCTGCTGCCCGCGCTCTCGTCACTGATGACACGGTCTCTGTCATTGGTTGTGTGTCCACGTCTCCTCCCCTACTACTAATCACTACTCAAATAAAGGATTCCACAAAAATAAACAATAATGAACAAGAGTCTGCTTCTAGACCTGCAGAAAAGGGACACACAACAATACAACAGGAGCAAGCTATCACTACGTCAACTTGAAGAAATATACAATCAACATTGTTTAACTGAACAATCACATGATAATAAATCATAGTGCATTTAGTGGCAACGACAGCCTTAAGACATGTGGAACGTGCCCAAGGCTATACTTATGAGCAGGGCCAGATCAACACTTTGTTGTACCCTGGGCAACAATATTAAAGGGCCCCATCATCACGACACAAGGATCACCATAATATGGTCACATACAGAATATTTTACTGTAATATGCAGTAAATATACTCAATACTTGAATACCTGACATCACGTAACCCACTCAGGGTAACCTTTGACCCACCTCATGTGGACTGACCAATGAAGAGAGGGTCTTAACTTGAGGCCGTCTCTTCATTGGTCAGTCTGCATGAGACTGACTCTCAACTGACGTTCAAAGTTAAACTGTCCACCCGGGCTTTTGCGGTTTGTTGAATGTAGGGTGACCATATTTCCATTTCCAAAAAAGAGGACGGGGGATCTGTGCCTATGACGTCACACTATGGCAACGCCACCCTACGGCGACACCCTACGGAACCCAGAGCTGAGTCGACAACGGCTTAGATGCTCACTAATTATTCAGAAATGTAAGCATTCAATTCCACTTGAGCAGAAGAGTTAGAAAAAAGTCACTCCTCTTAGAGTTGTCATGAATGCAAACTAGATCTATTAAATTGGCATTTTTAACATAGGAGTCAATGAGGATTAGCTCACTTCTGGTGCCGGCCCCTGGCGGATGAGGGTGGAACATCAATTTAGCCACTTCCTTGTTGGCTTCACCCAGAATTACGGGGCCTTGGTTTTCGTTTGAAATATTCTGCTTGAGTGGTTACAGTGACATCTGCTGGTCATTTCTAAACGTGGGCAGGTTTCTGGTTCTCCAGTGTTTCTGATTTCTAACACAAAAATAATTTCATTCTTGGCCTTGTTTCTTTGCATTATTAAAAATTTGTCTAGAATAGTCTTAATCTGATCTTCAGAAACTAGAATGTTTAGATTATTTGTGTCTGTGTGTGTGTTTTTACATTTTTTGTTTTTGTGAAGCGCCTCGTGATTTTTATCTTGAGAGGCGCTATAGAAATGATATTTTCCTCTTCTTCTTCTGTGTGTGTGTGTGTGTGTGTGTGTGTGTGTGTGTGTGTGTGTGTGTGTGTGTGTGTGTGTGTGTGTGTGTGTGTGTGTGTGTGTGTGTAAAGACTCAGCTCAGCTGTGGCAGAGCACCGGCGATCGGTGCGTCCGTCCCGCCGGACTCAAGGCTCTAGAAACCCACTGAGAGCTCTAGCAGCCAGAGAGGACATCATGCAGGACTACATGGGGGACAGAGTCAACACACCTGCAGAGGATAGGGGACAAACAGAGAAAAGTCAGTTATTTTTATGTCCTACTTTGTATTCCTTTTGGTCTCTTAGCTCCCTCACCTTTGTGTACTCTTTTACCACCACAGAGTGTAAGAACTCCTCCTCACCAGTTTCACGTCCGGTCACGTCTCAGCACGTCGTCTCCTCTGTAGAATCCGATACAGCGGAGTCTTTCGCTCCGTTCAGCAGCCTGATGCTCATTCACATCAAAGGTCCGTAAACATGAGATTGATCTGTGAGGATGTGTGTGTGCTGACCTGTCGGTGTGTTTAAACAGCAATGTCGGATGTTGACAGGTAGGCGGCATGTCCAGGTGCGGCTGGTGGAGCCTTCGGTCCGCTCTCTGAACAGCGGAGACAGCTTCCTGCTGGTTACACCGGAGCACTGCATCCTGTGGAGTGGGGAATTTTCCAACGAACAGGAGAGATCCAAGGTACCGATGGTGACTAAAACATTACAGGACCAGCATAAAGACATAAATACATGGTTACATGTTTGTGGGGGAAAATGGAATTTTGCAAATTGTTAGAAACATTTCTAAACACCGTTTTCAAATAGCATCAATCACAGCACTTAGAGATCCAGGTATCATCCTGCGGGGAATCTTTTCCCACATGTTTGTTTCATGGTGGGTTTACAGCCTAATTTCATCTTTCAGGCCTTTGAGCTGGCATCATTCATCCAGAGTCAGAGAGACCTGGGCTGTTCGGCTTCTGCAGTTGTTCACCTGGACGAGGAGCTGAGCTCTGACAGCAGCGCAGCAGCAGACTTCTGGAGTCTCCTGGGAGGAAGGAAACCATACAGAGGTGAGAGGTCGGAACAGGCTTCTAATCTGCTACGGTGTGCACGTGTTTGCACCTGAGAGCAGCTCTACTAATCCTTTATATCAGCTGATTTGTAACAATACTAGACTAAATTTCCCTCAGGGTAATCTAATATCTGCACTGATAAATATGTCACTGTGTTGTGTGTATTTTAGTTAAAAAGACACATGATTGAAAAGAAAACAATTTTAATGGACTTTGTTGGCAAAATAAACACAATTTTTGTCCTGAAAGCATCTAATTTGTGTCTGAAAACCCAGGTTTTAATATTTAAAGATCAAGAAAAATGTCAACGTGCTACAATCATATCATCATGAGACCAGCACTCTTTTTTGTTTGGTCTGAAACTTTCATTTATTTTTTATTATCTGAATTGTGTGTACTGAAACTCTAATTTCCCTCTGGGATCAATAAAGTGTCTTTGATTTGATTTTGATTAGCTATTTCTGATTAATAGGACTTCAGACATTAGTGAACAAGCGTATTTTTTAATATTTCATAGTTTAAATTAAACAGAAATAAGTTAAAATATTTCTTAAAATAGATAACTTCTATCTAAAAATGTAAACACATAAAATGGGCTGGATGGTGAGGCAGCTGGTAGCACTGTTACCTCGCGGCCAGAAGGTTGCAGGTTCAAATCCCAGCTGCAGCCTTTCTGAATGGAGTTAGCATGTTCTCCTCATGCATGTGTGGGTTTGCCCCAGGTCCTCTGGTTTCCTCTCACAGACCTTCAACATGCATGTCAGGCTAAACTGTAGGCCTAATGGCTTTGAGTTGAAGTGTGTGCAAAATACTAAACATGGAAATCAAAGCCAGTCTCTCTAAATAATTAAAATTCAACAGAAAAAAAGTGTTCCAGTGCAAAATACCAGTGTCTCTTTTTGGGACACAGGAGATTTAAACCTATTTACTGATGTCAGATTAGAAAAATTACATTTTTAGTTTTATGGCTTGAACGTTTGTTTTGAACTTGTTAAAAAGAGGATGGAAAGATTCATTTCAGCCAAGAAACCAGTGAAAAATATGCAGGTATAGTCTCTACTGGAAAGCGCCACTAAAACAAAGAAAACGTTAAAAGTCCCGCGTTCTTTGATGCCAGAGTGTTAAATCGGTCTAAGCTAGATGTGGTTATTTTGGTCTGATTTCCTGTGATGTTAGGAACGACTCTCAGCTGCTAAAATGTCAAACTAGCAGCTTCTCTGTAAAACTGACGGAATTAGTCATTTCTGTTTGATCTAGTCCAGATTAGCTGTAGCAGCCATCTTGAACTGTAGTGGTCACTTCCTGAGACGTTCACTAAAGTTGAGATTTTTGGCTGTGGTTCAAGGATGACGACCTAATAAACAAACGAGTTTACTTTGTTTGCTTCACCCCACAGGAGCCGGCGCTCCAGAGGAGGACGAGTTGTTTGAACAGGGAGTGGTGGAGTCTAACTGTGTGTACAGGCTGGTGGAGAACAGGCTGGTTCCCCACGAGGAGGGCTGGGCCTCCATCCCCAGAGCCTCCCTGCTGAGCTCTGCTGAGGTCTGACACCAGCGTCTCCCTGATCATTTGCTGCTTTGCAGGATGCTTGAAATTCTCCTCGCATGTCTGTGCTTCTAGGTTCTGGTGTTTGATTTTGGCAGCGAGGTGTATCTGTGGCACGGACGCGATGTTTCTCCCAAGAAGAAGAGCGTTGCCTTCCAGCTGACTAAGCAAGTTTGGGTCGGAGTGTACGACTACAGCAACTGTCGGGTCAACCCACTCGATGCCACTCAAAGTAACCCCAGCATTCAGCTGTACGTTCTCACTGCAGGCAACAAAATACTCTCAGCTAGGTGGAGGGAAGTAGCAGCAGCTTGTACAGAAATCAGTCTGATTGTTTTTGTGACGGCTGTATAAAGTCAGGAATAAACGTTAAAGCACACATCTGTAGTTTTTCTTTAAGAAATCTGTAAAAGGGACAGTCTCGCCCTAAAATGTGATATAACGAAGGCAATTTATCATACCCTGTCCCATAGAGACCCATGCAGTTTTACTCTGCTGCTCAGGGTTAGCCAGTAGCATTAGATGTCAATCACAGAGCGTGCTTGCTCACGCTTGTGGCAGTACCTAGTCTGAGCAGTGTGTTTGAGCTGTTTGCAAAGACACAATCATGGAGCAGCCAACCACTTTCACAGAAAACACCAAAAATACAGATTCCACTACTGCCATCTACTCGGACATTAGTAACGTTCACGAATGAGAGGCGCTGCTTCCAGCTGTATCACGAAAGCTGGGGGAGAGGTGTTATTCATATTAATGTTCACTCAAACCATAAATTCATCTTATTCATTCAAGACATAAATGTAAAATCTAATTTAAAACATTATACAATTCCAAAGTAAAGAAATCAAAATAAAAAAAAAAAGATTGTTTTTTGCTGCTCACCATTTAAAAGTTTTTTTCTCCATAGTTCTCTGTGAAGAGAGCAACTGGTAAATTAAACTAAAAAAATCCATCCATCCATCCGCTTATCCGGGGTCGGGTTGCGGGGGCAGTAGCCTAAGGCGAGAGGCCCAGACTTCCCTCTCCCCAGCCACTTGGGCCAGCTCCTCCGGGGGAATCCCAAGGCGTTCCCTGGCCAGGTGAGAGGCATAGTCCCTCCAGCGTGTCCCGGATCTACCTTTAGTCTCCTCCCGGTTGGACGTGCCCGGAAAACCTCACTAGGGAGGCGTCCAGGAGGCATCCTGACCAGATGCTCGAGCCACCTCAACTGGCTCCTCTCGATGTGGAGGAGGAGCGGATCTACTCCGAGCCCCTCCCGAATGACTGAGCTTCTCACCCTATCTCTAAGGGAGAGCCCAGCCACTCTTCAGAGAAAATTCATTTCGGCCGCTTGTATCCGCGATCTCAATCTTTCGGTCACTACCCAAAGCTCATGACCATAGGTGAGGGTAGGAACGTAGATCGACCGGTAAATCGAGAGCTTCGCCTTCTGACTCAGCTCTCTCTTCACCACGACAGACCGGTACAACGCCCGCATCACTGCAGATGCAGCACCAATCCGCCTATCGATCTCACGCTCCAGTTTTCCCTCGCTCGTGAACAAGATCCCGAGATACTTAAAACTCCTCCACTTGGGGCAGGACCTCATCCCTGATCCGGAGAAGGCATTCTACCCTTTTCCAAATCAAGACCATGGTCTCAGATTTAGAGGAACTGATTCTCATCCCAGCTGTTTCACACTAAAAAATAAAATTCTAAAATAAATTTTGAAATAATGTTCCAAATAACTGAAATGTACTTTTCTGAAATGTTTGTGTTTCTCAAACTTGAGTTAAGGGTTTTGGATACATATTGTTTTTAAATAAAGAATAAGGAAGCAATGCATCACCACAGGCTAAACTGTCCTAGAGTTACCACAAGCACCATTTTGGTGTGTCACCCCAACGTTTTCTTTGAGCCCGTCTGGCCACCCTTATAAAAATTCTCTGGGGGCCTCCCTGCCTCTGGGGAAAAAACTATGGACTTCTGCTTTAAGCATCTCGTAGAGCATCCCGTAGAGACTGCAGATGTTTACCCATCCTTCCGAGAGGCCTCTAAGGTCAAAGAATGTAATTAAAAAAAAAGTTTATTAAGTATCTTTTACTTCCTTACTGTGCAGCAAAACAGCTGGAAATGATCACAAACATGCAAAAAGATCCAGGATTTGGTTCAATCACTGGGAATTTTTTCTTCTCGTAAATTATGAATGTTATAATAGTAATAATAATTGTAGTTGAAATAATAATAATGATAAAGATGAACAATGTTTGATCATTACATCTATAAAATGTGTATGAATAACATTTATATGAATCATAGAAAAATGAAAAATTATTTAAGCATTTGGGAGTTTCACAGTTTGTCAACCCTAGCAAAAACAAAAAAGGTTCTAACTTATTCAGTTTTACATATGTGATGAAAGCCAAGCCAACTTTATTTTTGTAGTACCTTACAACAGTATAAAACTGACCAAAGTGCTTCACAGAAATTAATAAACATTAAAAACAATAAACAACATAAAAATACATAAACTGCCTTAGATTGGTTTAGGTCCTACTTCTGTGATCGCAGCTTTAATGTTATGATGGGTAGTGCTGCCTCCCCTTCTGCAGCTTTGACTTGTGGTGTTCCTCAGGGCTCTATTCTTGGACCCCTTTTATTTAATTTATATATTTTGCCCCTGGGTGACATTTTTAAAAAACACCACATTGACTACCATTTATATGCAGACGATTGCCAATTATATGCCTCTGTGAAGCCTAATGACTCTTTACAGCCCCTTGTTGAAAGCTGCAATGATGTGAAGAGCTGGCTGTCAGAAAACTTTCTTTTGCTGAACGATGCCAAGACAGAGGCTATCATTTTCAGCCCTAAGACTTCTCAAATTCCCCAACTGACCCTTCCATTTATCACAAGTAGGTTGAAAACCCGTGTCACAAACTTAGGGGTTGTGATGGATGCTAAACTAAAGATGGACATTCATGTCAACCAGGTAGTTAAGACCTGTTTTTACCACCTGAGACATCTCTCTAAAGTTAAGCCCATTTTAAAAAGGCGTCATCTCCATTCAGTTGTCCATGCCTTCGTGACTTCCCGTCTCGACTACTCTAACTCAGTGCTATATGGTATCTCCTCCTCCACTCTCGCTCGCCTTCAGCTTGTGCAGAACGCAGCAGCTCATTTCTTGACTGGCACCAGGCAGCGAGAACACATCACACCGGTTTTAGAAAATCTCCATTGGCTCCCCATCCATCTCTGGATAGAGTTTAAGATCCTGGTTTTTGTGTCTAAATCCCTCAATAACTTAGCACCTGGCTACTTGTCTGAGCTCATTCACCTTTATGTCCCTACAAGATCCCTCCGATCAGCTGACCAGCACCTCCTATATGTCCCTAGCTCTTGCTGTAAATCCCGCGGGGAGCGCACCTTTTCAGTTTGTGCACCGAAGCTCTGGAACAACTTGCCCCTCCTGATCAGACTCTCTTCCTCTCTTTCCCTTTTTAAGTCTCGTTTAAAAACTCACTTTTATTCGTTGGCTTTTAATTCAGTCTAACTTATCATCTTTCTCCTTTTTTTTTATTTGAATTACTCGATTTTAATGGATTTAGTTTTTATTTTTGATTTTTTTTTATTGTGTGTTTTTGTTCAGCACTTTGGCCGGCTCTCATGCCGTGTTTAAATGTGCTATACAAATAAACTTGGTATGGTATAAAAACTACAAGAACTAACACTAAAAAGACTCATGCTGAGTTAAAAGCCAAATCATTAAAATAGGTTTTCAAAATAGAGACAGTGAAGAGGCCGACCTAATGCTCAAAGGCAGCGCATTCCAGAGCCTAGGGGCCGCTACAGAGAAAGCCCGGTCACTTCTGAGCTTATGCCTTGTTTTTGGGACTTCCAAGAGTATCCTATCAGCTGACCTCATAGACCGTGCAGGGGAGTAAAAAACCAGTAGCTCAGAGAGGTAATCTGGAGCAAGGCCATTCAAAGATTTAAAAGCCCATAAAAACACCTTGTACTGGATTCTAAAACAAACAGGCAGCCAGTACAGTGAGGCCAAGACAGGAGTAACGTACTCCATCTTTTTTGTCCCAGTGAGCAGCCGTGCAGCAGCATTCTGCAGCAGCATTCTGCAGCAACTGAAGGCGCGAGAGTTGGCATTGTGAAACACCAAAGTACAAGGAATTACAGTAAATAAGCCTTGATGTAATAAAAGCATGAGTTACTGTTTCAAAATCTTTTTTCTGACAGTAAGTTCTTTACTTTGGCGATCCTTCTTAATTGATAAAAACTAGATTTAGTCACTGCACTGATCTGCCTTTCCAAAACAAAATCTCCATCCGGTACAACACCCAGGGAAGTCACACTCAGTTTCAAGAATGGGGCAAGCTGACCGAGGTCCACTGCACCCACCCTAGTCAAAGTGCCAAAGACCACAACCTCTGTCTTTTTATCATTAAAAAGAAGGAAGTTAGAGAACATCCATTGCCTAACCTCAAGAAGATAATCTCAAATAGACCGCAAAGCATGATTGTGGCCCCTCTTAAAAGGCACAAATACCTGGGTATCATCTGCATAGCAGTGAAAATGACACCCATGTTTCTTAAAAATCGAACCAAGAGTCAGCAGATACAGAGAAATCAACAATGGGCCCAACACAGAACCCTGGGGAACCCCGCAAGAGAATTAAGCATTAGAGGAAGTAAAATTCCCTAATGAGACACTGAGGGTTCTGTCAGCCAGGTACGACACAAACCAATCCAGCACAATCCCACGAACACCCACAAAGTGTTCCATCCTAGAAATCAGGATAGCATGATCAACAGTATCGAATGCAGCTGATGGGTCCAACAATACCAAAATTACAAAGTCTCCGGATTCGGTTGCCAATAAAATGTCATTAAACATTCAGAACATTGCTGATTCTGTACTGTGGACTGGCTTAAAACCAGACTGGAATTTTTCCAAAATGTCATTTCCCATCAAATAGTCAACTGTGAGTAAATACCTTCTACAGTACTTTAGAAATTAAAGGAAGTCTGGAGATGGGTCGATAACAGGACAAGGCAGATGAGCCAAGTCCACCCTTCTTCAGTAAAGACTGAACAACAGCATGTTTCTAGTTCCCTGGTACTTGCCAATAACCCAAGGACCTAATTGATAAAAAAAAAAACGTCATATAAAAGCCTAGAGGGCATCAAATCCAAGGGAGAACCAGCAGGTTTTAAAGAGTTAACAAAAACCCAAAGGCAGTTCAACGTAAGCAGCTCAAACTGACTAAAAGTAGCTGAACAGGGACCACCAGAGTCTGACCGGGGACTGACCTTTGATCCTTGATGCCAAAGCACAGCACACCTCTGTACAGGAGAGACATCTAGATGTAAACTGATCTGTATTCACAGAAGTGTCACCAATTTAAAACGAGATGAAAAAATATCATCCAGAATAAATGAGCATCTGAAATCTTCAACTTTATGCTTTTTAAATTCATAACACAAAATAAATGAACAGGTTAAAGCAAAAATGCAAACAGGGTTTTAAAATTTAGATGACGCTGTTTTGGCATTTAAACACATTTTAAAAATATATTTAAAAATCTGTAGATTGATTAAATGTACCTGAATTCTTTTTAATCAAACATCCACACTCTATTGAAACCAGATTGTGCCCTTTTTTCTGTTTTGGATACGATTTGTGTGGTGATCTCACTCTGGCATTTGGATGTTTGTCCCTAGGACAGGAGAAGGCCGTCCCAGCTGGGCTCTGCTCGGTGTCGTCTCGGAGCACAACGAGACGGTTCTGTTCAGGCAGAAGTTTCTGGACTGGATGTGTAGAAACGCAGCTGCAGACGAAGTGGTTTCAGAGAGGGAAGAGATGCAGGTTAATCTCACAGTTCAGTGGTTCAGAGCCACTGTGCAGCGCAGACACTTGCTGCAGTTAAACCAAAACCCATCTTTGGGAAAAGTTTGGACTTGGATAATAAATAATGACAAAATATTACCGCTTTAGGAATAAAATTCCTCATGGAAAAATTCTAACTAAAGGAGTTGCATAAGGAGCACTAACAGCAAGTGTCTTTCCTGACAGGTGATGTCTTCATCACCGCAGCCAGAATCTCCACCTTTAGTCCTCCTGAGCCCCTGTGATGCTAAGTCTCTAGTGTCCGGTGAGTCTATAGAATCAGACGGTTCTGTCAGCTCTGTGCTGGCAGGGGTCAACGTCCAGAGAGGTCATGGTGTTCTCATGTTGGACGACGGACATCAGATGGAGATGAAGACGGTGGCTGTGGACACATGGCACGTCCAGGAGTTTGACGACAGTGAAATACCCGTAGAGAGCAGTGGGCAGCTTCATGAAGGAGACTCCTACGTGATCCGCTGGACTTTCAGCATCAGCGCTGTTGGTCAGTCTTAAAGAAGAGACTGATTAGATTTTAGTTTTATTTTTTAATATGTCTTTTTTCTCCATCACAGATGATAAAACGATCCTTGAAGAGTGTGAGAACTCTCCTGGATCAAAGGAGAACACCGCCTTCTTCCTGTGGCGAGGCCGACACTCCAACGCCAGCGGACAGGACACTGCAGCTTTCCTCTCAATCGGCACGAACGCCAGTGAAAAGTCTCAGGTTGGTTCATGTATCTGCATTCATGTGTGGCTGCAGTATTAAAACAGATGGTTTAATGATTAAAAGAAGAGAAAACAATGAAATAGCTTCTCAACTTTACACAGATGAATGTTCATTCTTTACAGTAGTAATAATAATACGTGGCTCTCTTGTCACTAAACGATAATGAAGATAATGAAAATAAGAATGGAAAATCTGATAAACATATGAATAATTAATTAATTAATTAATTAATTAATTAATTAATTAATTAATTAATTAATTAATTAATAGAGAAAATGAGGTAATTAAATGTGTGGAACACTGAAAAAACATTTTTAATGATTATTTCAAATCATAATCGGTCACTCTGAGTTTAACATGCAGGCTGAACGTGAAAATAGTCTCCTACACCTATAGAGAGCCTAAGTCACGCCCATCTACTTCTGGACCATGGATTTCCAGAAGAACAAAAAAATGAAAGCAAGTCAACAGGGCTAAAAAAAGCTATTTTCTAACCCCGCTTGTTATTGATGTCCGTGAATTCTTTAATGATTTAAATTACATGTTATTTAATAAACCATAAGACTTGAGATTCCATAGGAAATATGAAATCAACCTTATGGATCTGTAGGTACTGTTTAACCAGAAGATTAAAACTTTTTATTGCAAAGATTAAATAACAGCTTTGTATTAACTCAGACAACAGAGGAGAGAGAGTCGAGTTTAAAAGTTTAAAGATTTATTACTAAACAAATTAAACTAGACTAACTTTAACACTAAATGTATGGTGTAACTGAGGTGAATGAGACGGAGAATGGTGCAGTGTGGAACGTTGCTCAGAACCAGCAAATCGGAAGAAACGATTAGTTCTGATGAGAAATGAAGGTGATGTCTTTGCGCTAAGCTTTGGTTAGGAGATTCATAAACACATTCGACGCCTACATAGCCTTGTGGGAGTCTCCATTAGATCAGGAATGTCGAGGTCCAGCTGGACCCTCTCTGGAAACGAAGCTAGTAGGAAAAGCAGTGGTTGCCGACCAGACCAGTCTTTGAGATACTTCCGGGTCACGATGGTTTTGTTGGTGTCTAGCGAGACCCAAACCTGGGTCATGATGGTTCAGCTTTTATTCTGAAAGGAACCGTTGCAGCAGGTGGAATAGCAACAGATTTTATCCAGCTTGTCGTTGGTTCTTTTGGCTGAAGAGGAAAGTTACGGATTGGCCACTCCGACACTTCTCTAGAACGCTTTGAACTGGCGTTAAAGATGACGTGGGCATAGTTTTATACTTTGGATGTTTTGGTTTATGGTCGAATGAAAAGATGACAGATTTACCAAACACCACCAAAACCACGCCTCCGTCAGATCTGGCAGACAATGTGTCATGTCTTAACGCTACGTGAGATCAGTCCTAGTGGAAACATTTAAAGTTATATTACTTATTATATTCTATAGGATTATAATAAAGTAATTAATATTTTGATTTCACAGATTGGTCACATCTTATTTATTGACTAACGCTTTGTTTGATTAGCTTTATTAAAATAGAGTTCTTTGATTTATTAAAAGGAGAGAGTCCTTTCTTCATTCTTCTCTTCAGCTGGAAAGAAGCAGTTTATAGCAAATGCATGAGACCTTGAGGCCATATCTCATGCAGACTAGTTCTGTGTCAGAGGAGAGGGGAAAATGACTTTTGGTGGAAAACAGTCATTTCATACTGTTACAATTTTAAAGACACATTTTAATACCAAGAAAGTGCTTATTTTAGGTTTTATGTGAAAGTCCAGGAGTACAAATGTGCTACATGAAAGTGACGTAATCAAACCAGATACAGAACAAAACAGAGGAAAAATGGCTGTAAGTTCAACGAACTTCAAATCTTTCCTTTAGGAGGAAAGAACCACCATAAATCTGGCCATTTGGTAAGTAGCAGCTATGCTAGAGGAGAGGAGAGGAGATTCTGTGGGGATGTCATATATGCGACGTGCCGATGTGTGTATTGTAGTCATGCTAATTACGAACTTTTACAAGCTGATTAATCTTAAAGTATGTGACAGGCGTGGTTGAAACACACGTCATTACTTTTCATTCAAACAGAAGTTCGACATATGTGTGATCCAGGGCGAAAGGTGCGGCGAATTAGAAATGCCCCGAAAGCTAACCATTAGCATTAACAACTCCACAACACAGAAAAACTCGTTATTTGTGGAGATAAAACGTCAACGTTGCAAATCCGTGATAGAGTCGAGTTGCTGTTAGCCAATCAGAGGTGATATGTCCAAATATCAGGAAATATGACTCCAAATCCTGTCGTGTTGTGCCACTTTCTGCTGCAGCAGACTCGTCAGTGCTGATGCAAGCTGTTCTGGGCTTTTTTTGCCCTGAGTACGGCGTGCAAGGCATTTATTCCTACCAGAGACCACTGCAAACGTATTTCCCACAACGTTGACTAAATAATAAAAACTGAAATTTATTTAACCCAAAACGAATAAAATCTCTAAAAATGTAAAGTTAAAGGATTTATTTTATTGACAGTATTGATGTCACCAACAGCATCTCAATACAGATATCTCATTAGAACAGTTTGCTCTTTTTGTGTTGTCCACTAAGGTGTGACATTTTAGCTCTTTTTCTGTAAAACCCACTCAGTTAGCTGTTTGTGTTTGCAAGTGTCATTTTGCTGTAGCAGCCTTTTTGGCCAGGGTTGGCTCTGAAAGGGACTGATTTGAACATTAACATCCAATAATAACTTTCTGCCGATTTAGTTAAAAATGTGTCTTAATGGTTCCTGCAATTCTTTGGGGCAGACCACAACTACTCTATCTCTTAAGGCTACACTTTTCGGAACAGATAATACTCAGATAGCGTTTTTAATTATGTGATGATAATTTCCGTCACACAGATGTAGAAATCAGAGGAGAAGCATTTCCAGCGGGGACTGTGGTCACCGGTTGTGTCTGTGTTTCTGTAGGTGGTGGTGCCTCAGGGCGAAGAACCTCCATGTTTCCTGCAGCTTTTCCGGGGAGGTCTAGTCATACACAGGGGCAAGAGAGAGGAAGCCTCCACTTGTGCAGGTGGAGTAAAGTCGGCTTTAGATGCAGTTTCTAGTTTTTTCTGTTCGACTGATTTAAAAAAAATTATTTTGTTGCAACAGAATGGCGTCTTTTCTGTGTGCGAGGAGAGCTCCCAGAGGAGGGTCTGCTGATGGAGGTGGACTGCTGCTGTGCAAGTCTGAGGTCAAGGGGCTCTGTCGTTCTGCTAAACAGCCAACAGGGGGCGCTGTATCTATGGAATGGTTGTAAAGCTCACAGCAGTGTCAGAGAAGTCGGCAAGAGGGCAGTGGAGCGTCTGACTGAGATGTAGGACTCTAAATCCCTGTTGTCTGTGTATGATGACATCCAGGATAAGTATGCTGTTCTTGTGTGTGTGTGTGTGTGTGTGTGTGTGTGTGTGTGTCTGTGCGCACACGCATGTGTTTGTTAGGTGTCCTCCAGAGCTGGGTTTGAACAAAACCAGTCCTGTGAAGATGCATTTAGTGGAAGAAGGTTCAGAACCTGCAGAGTTCTGGACGGCTCTGGGACAGATGGACAGGAAGGCGTATGACTGCATGCTACAAGGTGCAACATGACCCACACTTTGACTTTGTTCCTCTAAACTAATCAGATTATTCTAAAGAAGGTAACTCTCATGTTCTCCTAACAGATCCAGGAAAGTATAACTTCACTCCTCGTCTTTTCCATCTGAGTTCCTCCTCCAGTAGATTTGAGGCCAAAGAGCTTCAGAGTCCGACGCGGCTGCCGGGACTGGTGATGGCGTTGCCCTTTCTCCAGGAGAGCCTTTACTCTGTACCACAACCAGGTGAGAAAACACAAACCAAATTCTGGAGGATTTTATTTGTATTCCTTTTTATATGTCTAGTTTCAGATCAAAATCAGAAATGTTTGTTTTCTAGCTTTTAAATATGTTTTTTCAAATAAAAAAAAACTGAATAAAAACACTTTTGAATGTAAAAAACTGCATTTAATACAATATAAATAATTTTACTTAGAAAACTTGTATTTACGTTGCAAATTTGTGTTTTCTTGAACATAAATTGTCATTTTTAGCAGAAAATGTATCGAAATTATATTTAATAATGTGTAATTTTTTTACTCATTTTTATTAGCTTTATTTTCTTTCAACCAAAGACTAAACATCCCACAGGAGCAGATGTGAGTCTAATTCCATCTTGTTGTCCAATTTACCTCCAATTGTGTCGTCAGCCTTGTTCCTGCTCGACAACCGGTTAGAGGTGTACCTGTGGCAGAGGTGTCAGCCCGAGCAAACTGAGAGCTCCGCCTCAGCCCGGAGCCTCTGGCACAGCGAGAGAAGGTGTGCCATGCAGACGGCGCTGCAGTTCTGCAAAGGTCAGAGGATTTTACCAGAAAGTACCGCAAATACTCAAGTTGTCGCAGCAATTACTTTACAAAAAGCTATTGTGTGTTTTTATCAGAGATGAACCCCAGAAGGCCTCCACAGGCCTACCTCATCTTTGAGGGATCAGAACCTCTGACCTTCACTAATGTTTTCCCTCGCTGGGAGAACCTCGGACCTCTCACTCGGGTAAACATGGAGAATGTGTGTTCGATGCCGTGTAGGGTGTGTAACTTGGGTAAAAAAAAAGTATCTTGCAACATTTCCTGGTTTTCTGAATAATTAATTTTGAGCATCTTGCTTCTATTAGTGGTCCTTGAGACCTTCATTGTCTAACCAGAAACGTTTCTTCTAACTAAACGGGTCCTTGAGCACATGAGAAAGTTAAAGATAAAATCCTGAGGTCAAGAGGCCTGTTTGTTCAGCTGTGCTGAGATTATATAAAAATGTGGACTTGGGTTAGCAGACTTTTATCTGCCTCAACACACAACGGCTTCCATCGTTCTGAGATTGAAAACATGTTTGCAGCGACCGACAGTCTGGCTGCCAAACCGAGTCATCAGGGATGAAAGTCCACTGTTCCTTTGAGGAGAAGTGAGAAACGACCAGTGATCAGACTGAAGCCTCTCCCCACCTAAATGCACAACACTTAAGAAGGGCCCCTTTAGTAATGTTACTTAGTGCATTATTAAGCGTTAATAAACTATGGATCCTTATAATTATTTAGGCTTTTAGAGTCATATTTTTTATTTATTTTTTATTTTTTTCCCAAACTGACGTCAGCTGAGGGAGTCCTGTTAGCCTGATCCAGAGAAAAAATATGAACTCTGATGCAGCTCTGACACAGAGGAAGCTTTAAATGTTAATAATTCTATTTATGATGGACCAAAACCCCAGAGAGTAGAAACAAGCTAGAGGGAGAAATAATCGGCCAAAGCAGAGAGATTGTGGAGAAGCAGCGGGGGAGCAGCAGGTGAGTTAAACTCGTGTGCTAACGTCACAATATTGTAGATTACTTTCATGTACCAGAGACAATTAAAATAGTATTGGTCAGTTAATTTAATATTAATACTAATGAGCGTCTGTCAGCTGTCTCATACTCGTTAATATCCGTTCACCTAACATAATTTAGTGCTTAGAGAGAGACGCGTGTCATCTGGTTCTGGAGCTCATGCGGGCTTCTGTGAGCTGGATCCAACCCAGAAACCAGAAAGCCAGTCAAGCAGGTATTTTTAAAGCCACACATCCTCTCCTGGTGGTCCAGGCGGCATTTCTGATCCGGTTCCGACCCAGAAACCAGCTCTACTGGCCTGCTGAGCCGCGTGTCTCTTCTGGTGGTCGGTTCTGATGGTGATCTGAGTTCCAGAAATCCGTATTTCATTTTTAAACCTCGCCACGGGTCTCCGGAGCCCAGCGTGGACCTCCCTGTCCTGGTACCGAACGATGTGGGCTACAGAAGTCCCGTCTTTTTACGCCCTCACACACTGAGATAGAGGCGTTGTTTATCTTATCTGGAAACGCGTGGACTCGATGTCCAGACAGGCTGGAGTTGGCACAGCCTTCACAAACTAGTTTATCAGCATGAGCACAATCCAACACTAGTAAACACACACACTGACTGGATAACATGACCTCTCTGCCCTAAAACTAGCCACTCTCCACACTGAGCTGAGACAGCGCCTTGCTTCCAACTCCCTTTGGTTACGTCAGAGGTTCAGGTTTAGAAAAAAGAGCCTCTTTAGAAACTTTGCTGAGAAAGACCACTCTTTACCAGAAAAACTGCTGTTATGTATTTTAAAACGAAATATCCACAATAAGCTTTTCAAATAGGACTGCATTTTATATGAATTAGAAAAAAATAACCTGCAATTTGCTCTTTAAGGTTAGGACAAAGGACCGGGGATGTCTGCTTAGTAATCCATTACTTATTAACATTAATATGAAGTAGTTTTTAATAGTTTATTTATTAGAATATTAATGCTTAATAATGCACTATTAAGTAACGGTAATAAAGGGACCCTTATTGTAAAGTGTTACCAAGTGCACAAAAAACTTTGAGGTACTTTGGCCATTTTCTGCAGTATCTGCTGAATGTTTTATGTTTTAATAAAAATGCAGCTCAATGATATTAAAGTCTTGTGAAGAACAAACTCTTTTAACTGAGGTAAAAACATTCAACAGCTCTCGCTGCTTCAGAGGGAACTAAACTAGATCACCTTGATGATGGGGAGCATTTTCCTCTCTTCGGCGGCTGTGTCACTTTTCACGATTGAAAATCAGTCTGAATCTAGATGATCTAAAGTATTCGGAAATAAATTAGCCAACCTTCCAGAATTTAGGCTGGAGCAGAAAAAGACCTCTCGGTTTTAACCTAAAGGATTTCAAGAAAACTGAGACGTCACATAAGGACAGTTTCCAGTAAAACTCTAGAGCTAAACCTTTCCGTCTGGCTTCATTATAACTGAGCCTGTATTTTTTCTAAATAATAAAAAAAGGACGTCGGGAGGACAGAAAGCAAAGAATAAATGCAGCCTGTTAAATAAAGTGTAAACGTTCTTGAAAGATACAGACTTTGATTAATAATGCACGAATGTGTGTAAAAGAGTGATTCAGGCCAAGTGAAGCTGACTTTGGTGCAAGATGCCTTGGCACAGCTGATGAAGCCCCAGTACCCTCTGGAGGAGCTGCTGCGGAGCCCCTTACCTGAGGGAGTGGACCCCCAGCACCTGGAGGTCTACCTGTCTGACCAGGACTTCCAGGTAAACAAATGCAGACGCAGTAACAATGGTACAACCAGCAGGCTGCAGTGTTTACCACAATTTAGATAGTTATAAACGGCGGTCAGGAAATAAAATTGAATCTTTTCTATATTTAAATTTTGTTTCAGACTGTTCTGGAAATTAAGAGAGATGAATATGCCTCCCTCCCAAGTTGGAAGCAAACGGATCTGAAGAAGAGCAAAGGGCTGCTGTGTTAGGAATGCAAAACGACTGGAAGCCCCTTGACGGTTTAAAATCTGGAACTTCTGCCTTTACAATGCAGGGATAGCGCCGGGTTATTGCACAAAAGACTGCTCGCTATGTAATGGAGAGAGGAAAAACACTTTATTTATGTCAAGGTGGTGTGTGACTTTGTCACAGGGTTTCTCTGTAGCAACTGTTTGGCTCCTATGAGACACGGCTGTACAACATTGATAAACTGTTTGTTAAAAACGAAGAAAAAAAAGAGTGATTTAAAATAAAAAATGTTTATCAAAGAACTTTAGAAGTGCATTCACTCAGTAATTATAAAAAAAAAACATCTCTGATTTGCTTTAAAACAGCTGCTTTTATGATTGTGTGTTTTTACAATCGGATGTCATTTTATCTGCCAGGCGTTTATGTACAAAGCTTTGAGCCATGTGCGCCGTAGCCAAGGCCGCTGTTGGGCCTTATTAGGGCTCCTTGGGGATTCACCATTAGCTACGCATGAAGGAACAGGTAGACATGCTCCAATAACATCCCTCTGGCCCAAAGCAACACACTAATTCTGCTTCACCTCAGTCAAAACACACACACACACACACACACACACACACACACACACACACACACACACACAATTATTACAGTTTAACAATCAGGCAACACTTGTATTGTTAAACTAACAAATGCATTTAAAAAAACCAGCAGCTGCAGCTAAATTTCTGACTTTCTGCTAACATGCATATGCAATCTCAGATTCACAACATTAGCATGCTAAAACGAGCACGTACCACATTTAGTATTAAAAATTAACTATAATAAACGCTTATTGTATTGACTAGTGTAACAGGAATTAATGACAACTGAAATAAACAGACATTTTGGAATAAAAATGACATCAGAATTTAGTGAAGTGTGTGACCACCTGAACCACAGTAGGGGTGTCTTGTAGACGGGTTTAAGAGCATCACAGTTTCTGAAGATTGGTTTTTTTTCCCCTCCACCATCCAGATGTCAGACTGACCCCACACACTGAACCAGTCAGGCTTGTTTTACAATGGTGCACTGAGTTGGATCACCTTAAGGTTGACTGGATAATGGATGTTATTTTCCCCAGAGTGGATAAACTGACTAAGCCTCCGTGTGACTGGAGTGCTGGTCAGACTGGATTTAGGCCCACTGTTGGCTGATGGCACACGTAGGACAAACTTTGCTCAGGTGATGTCTCTGCAGGGCTACATATAAAAACACACATATGAATGCAAACTATTTTATAAATACACATTTGCAGGTAATTCTCGTGTAAAAAATAATCTCGTGTCTAGTAAGGTTGAGCAGATGCACTCTAGTTTTCTGCACCTAGATTGTTTTAAATGGATTGTTCTCTGTGCGCATTAACTCCAGGTAAGTTTCGTTCAGGCTCCGAAGCTAAAGCTGCTTCACGTAAAACCACCATGTGATCTTCAGCCTGGTGGAGCGACTGGTCGATCCAGTCCATGCTGCCCGACATGTGACAGGCGTTGCGGGTGACCAGCACCAGGTGGCTGACTGACAGGAGCAGAGCTGTGGCTCTGAGAATTAACCAGACAAAAAACATTCAGATTACACACTGGATTAGAAACCATTCTTATGAAGAGCTTATTTTGAACTCATGTTTAGAGTTGAGCAGAAATGTATTGGCAAGGGTTTCATTTGGCTTAAATTCTGCTTATTTAGTGAAGATGTAACATGTTCTGACACAACTGTGCCCATTCCAGCTCTATTTATAACCCAAGATTCTGGATAAATTAAGTCAAAAAGCTACCCAACTTTTTCTCCTTTACTCCTGCTAAAACTGTCTTATTAGGTCGGTGCTTACCTGGCGTCCAGGAGGATCGGCTCCAGAGGGGGGTACATGGACCTGACCACATCGTCCACTCTGTAAGACGGACGGCAGGGACAGCGGGTGTCCTGTTAGAGCTGTGATGACGCACAGCTGTGATGAGTTGTGTATAAATGGTGTTACCTCGGGCTGATGCGTTTGGCCACAGTGATAATGTCACTCAAGCTGGCCGGTGCTTTGACTTTTGCCCCTGAGCCCATCGTCATGGCAACCAGCTTTTCTGTCAGAGTGTGGCAGATCTGTATGTGGGTAGCTTTATTAAGTTAATCAGCCTAATAGAGAATATTCAACAATAACACAATGTAAGCATCTGTTTAGCTGTATTCAATCCTCAATGATGGATAAAGTGGCTGCAGGTGCTGCTTCGGCCCATTTATGTGACAATAGCTGCTAGCAGCTCAGTGTAGAGTGGATATCGGTCTACACACCCCTGGTAAAATGTCAGGTTCACACACAAAAAATAAATCATTTCAGAACTTTTTGCATCTTTTACATGAACTATAAATTGTGCCACTCAGTTAAACAACAAACTGAAGTCCTTTAGGTGGAGGGAAGAAAGCAAAAAAAAAAAAAAAAAAAAAAAGCTAAAATAATGTGTTTGCATACCCTCTTCTAACTGGAGATGTAGCGGTGTTTAGAAATAAGCAATAACATTCAAAATCATGTTATATAGGACATCATTTAAAATGCCTCTGATTGCCCCAAATAAAGTTCAGCTGCTCTAGTTCCTGACATTTGGTTAGTTGCATCCCACAGCTAAAGCCATGGTCCACAGAGAGCTCCCAAAGCATCAGAGGGATCTCGTTAAACGACACCAGTCAGGAGAAGGTTATAAAATAATTTCCAATGTATTAGATATACCATGGAAAAATATGGTACAACAGTGACATCAAGAACTGGACGTCCCTCCAAAATTGACGACACGCCGAGAAGAAAACTGGTCAGGGAGGCAAGAGGTCTACGGCAACATTAAAGGAGCTGCAGGAATATCTAGCAAGTGCTGGCAGTGTGGTGCATGTGGCAATCTCCCATATTCTTTCTGGGCTATGGGGTAGAGTGACAAGGCGAAAGCCTTTTCTTATAAAGAAAAACATCCAAGCCAGGCTAGATTTAGCAAAGAACACATCTGCAGTCTCTCAAAAGAATGTGGGAAATAGCGTTATGGGCTGATGAAACCGAGATGGAACTTTTTGGCCATAATTTCAAAAAAATGTTTGGCGCAAAAACAAAACTGCACATCACCAAAAACAAGTCCATACCCACAGTGAAGCATGGTGGTGGCAGCATCATGTTTTTGGGCTGTTTTCAGCTGGAACCGGGGTTTTAGTTGAGATAGAGGGAATTATGAACAGCAGGGACAGATTTAGGATTGAAAAAGGTCAGGGGATTAGCCCTGATATGTGGTTTTCTACTTTTTAACAAAACATTTAAACTTTCACAACTTTCACATTTTGACCATCAGACAAAAAGCACTAGATTACACTTATGAACTGATATGAAGATATACTAAGTTTATTGTTAGCTTCTATACAATACTGCGAAAATAAATCCTCTCAGGAACTTTACATTCGGATTTGAGCCATGTTTATGCAGTAATACTCATTTATTCATATTCCATTAAAGAAAAGACAAAATTCACAGAAGTCACTGAAATAATAAGAAACTCAAAATATAACAAATGAAAAATAACTACATTATAATTAGGGTAAATTATTAGAATTAGAAAGCTCCACTGCCATTGTTCAACAACAGGAAGTGCTGCTGGAAAAATGACGCTGCAAAAGTCCAGGTCCTAATGTCTGCATGAGTAAAGGAAAAAGTATAAAAATCATATGATAAATTAAAACACCAGAAACCATAGTGCATGTGTGCATTCAGAGTAGTGATCACCTGTGGAAAGAAATTGTTCTTGAGCCCTAAAATAAAATATTACTTTTGAATTGTGGTTGAAAAAACAAAAAGAATTAAATCAAGAGTCCCAAAAATATGAGAACACTTCACTAATGACATCCGAGTCTCAGAAATCATTTGGCTGCAGTGGTCTCTGTGTTGTTCAACAAAATATTAGTTTATGGACCATGGTTGATTTTATTAATATTTTTATGAAACCACAGTTTGAAAACAAAGTTGTGATTTTAGAGTTACTATTACTTTTGTCAATATAAACATATTTCAGTGACAGCTGTTCTTTTTCCTTTAGTGTGTGTGTGTGTGTGTGTGTGTGTGTGTGTGTGTGTGTGTGTGTGTGTGTGTGTGTGTGTGTGTGTGTGTGTGTGTGTGTGTGTGTGTGTGTGTGTGTGTGTGTGTGTGGGGTGAATAAAAACTTCCATCCATCCATTTTCCTCTGCTTAGTCAGGTAGCGGGGGCACCAGCCTAAATCGAAAGGCCCAGACTTCCCTCTCCTCAGCCACTTGGGCCAGCTCTCTGAGGGAATCCCAAGGCGTTTCCTGGCCAGGTGAGAGACATGTCCTGAGTTTCCTTTTAGGTCTCCTCCCAGTTGAACGTGCCTGGAAAACCTCACTAGGGAGGCATCCAGGAGGCATCCCGACCAGATGCCACTTCAACTGGCTCCTCTCGACGTAGAAGAACAGCAGATCTACTCTGAGCCCCTACCGGATGACTGAGCTTCTCACCCTATCTCTAAGGGAGAGCCCTGACACCCTGCGGAGAAACCTCATTTCGGCCGCTTGCATCCGCGATCTCGTTCTTTCGGTCATTACCCAAAGCTCGTGACCATAGGTGAGGGTAGGAACGTAGATCGACCGGTAAATCGAGATTTTCGCCTTCTGACTCAGCTCTCTCTTCACCACGACAGACCGGTACAACGCCCGCATCACTGCAGATGCAGCACCAATCCGCCTATCGATTTCATGCTCCATCTTTCCCTCACTCATGAACAAGACCCCGAGATACTTAAACTCCTCCACTTGGGGCAGGACCTCATCCCTGACCCGGAGAAGGCATTCTGCCCTTTTCCGACTCAAGACCATGGTATCTGATTTAGAAGAGCTGATTCTCATCCCAGCTGCTTCACACTTGGCTGCAAACCGCTCCAACAAAAGCCAAAGATCATGTTCTGATGAAGCCAACAGGAGCACATCATCTACAAAAAGCAGAGACCTGATCCTCAGGCCACCAAAACGGATGCCCTTTACACCTTGGCTGCACCTAGAAATCCTGTTCATAAAGGTTATGAACAGAATCGGTGACAAAGGGCAGCCTTGGTGGAGTCCAAATCTCAGGAAACGAGCTCAACTTACTGCCGGCAATGCGGACCAATCCCTGACACCAGTCATACAGGGACCTAACAGAGGGCCTGGTACCCCATACTCCCCGAGTACCCCTCAAAGGGCCCCCCGAGGGACGCGGTCGACGCCTTCTCCAAATCCACAAAACAGATTGGTTGGGCAAACTCCCACACACCCTCCGGGATCCCCCTAGGGCTATAGAGCTGGTCCAGTGTTCCACGGCCAGGACAAAAACCACATTGTTCCTCCTGAATCCGAGGTTCGACGACCCAACGGACCCTCCTCTCCAGAACCCCTGAATAGACCTTACCAGGGAGGCTCAGGAGTGTGATCCCCCTGTAGTTGGAACACACCCTTCGGTCCCCCCTTTTAAATAAAGGGACCACCACCGCGGTCTGCCAGTCCAGTGGGACTGCCCCCGATGTCCACGTGATATTGGGCAAATCTTCCAAAATGTGCCATGCTGATAGACTTGTGCCCTAAAAAACTGAGAGCTGTACCAAAATCAAAAGGTGCTTCAACAAAGTATTAGTTTAAGGGTGTACACACTTATTTTCGTTTATCTGGTTTTCTTCCCTCCACTTAAAAGTATTTCAGTCTCTTTTCTTTCAATTCAGCGATACAGTTTATAGGACACAATAAAGGTGGTAAAAGTTCTGACATTATTTATCCGTCTCATTTTTGTACAGCACAGGAATCTGACATTTTACCAGGGGTGTGTAGACTTTTGATGTCCACTGTATCCTATGTAGACAATATTCTGAAACACTTAAGTAAAAATCTTCCTGAAACGAGTACAAAGAAAAAAACAACAACAACAGTTTACTAGTAAAGATGTATATTCAGACAAAAACCAGAAAGGGCTGTCTCACCTTCAGGATTGAGATGCAGTGTGACACCAGGCCGCTGTTGGAGGCAAACTCAGAGTTACAACTAACAAGAAAACACGACAGTGTAACGGAATGAAATGACTGTTTCCCCCTCTCCTCTGACACAGGACTAGTCTGCATGAGATATGGCCTCAAGGTCTCATGCATTTGCTTCTAACCTGCTTCTTTTCAGCTCAACAGAAGAACGAAGAATGGACTCTCTCCTTTTAATTAATCAAAGAACTCTATTTTAATAAGCTAATCACGCAAAGTGTTAGTCAATAAATAAGATGTGACCAATCTGTGAAATCAAAATATTAATTACTTTATTATAATCCTATAGAATATAAAAGTAATATGGCTTTAAATGTTCCACTAGGACTGATCTCATGTAGCGTTAAGACATGACACATTACTTTCACTGATCCAATCAGAATCTGCCAGATCTGACGGAGGCGTGGTTTTGATGGTGTGTGGTAAAACCTGTCAACTTTTCATTCGACCATAAACCAAAACATCCGATGTATAATAATAATGTATTCAACTTATATAGAGCTCCGGGAGTTGACGTCACTTCTCCCGGCATGCAACAGTTCAAATCGAAACGGCGCCATATTGGCATGCAGAAGCCGGCAGCTGGACTATTTACTATTGTCAGAAAACTCAATCAAACGGGAAATATGGTAGATTCCTGTTGTGCCCCAGGATGCAGAACAGACGCGGACGACATAAGGAATGAGACATCTACAGGATTCCCCAAGATCCGGAGCGCCGCAAACGTTGGATCATTGTAATAAAACGCGCTAGTGACCGGGCTAAAATGAAGCTGTGGGATCCGAGAGTAAAGGTTTTCACTTATGCAGCGACCACTTCATATCAGGTACATAAACCAACGTTTCCTCAACTGTGTATGGTATTTATTTTAAATGCTTCTATTATGATTCTTAGTGGGCTTCCTAAACTTATTTTGGCGTGGCTTTTTCTGTCTTATTACTCATAGCAGCAAGTAAACATCACGTAAAACGTTGCCTCGTGAGTTCTGCGTGCTGCCGTTTACGTGTTTTATGATGACAGCAATTAACCGGCTAAGCCGTATTTAATTGTTAAGCAATGGTTGATCAGATCACACATAAAAAGCACTTTGGATTACTATTATCTGTGTCACCGAGACTACTTACATGTAAATCTGTTATTTGTCCGTCCATCCATCCATTTTCGTCCGCGTATCCGGAGTCGGGTTGCTGGGGCAGTAGCGTGACTTCCCTCTCCCCAGCCGCCGGAGCCAGCTCCTCCGGGTAAATCCCAAGGGGTTCCCCGGTCAGGTCCGGTGCTGTGCCGGTCCGCTCCGACAGCTTCTGGCGTCGGAGCGGGTAGTAGAGTCGAGAGTCCCAGACCTTCTCCCCAGCTCCTCCGGCCGGGGGAATCCCAAGGGGTTTCCCCGGCCAGGTCCGGTGTTGTGCCGGTAAGAAGTCCGCTACGACTTCTGGCGTTTTTAAAAAGTATCCCAGGGGCACGGTAAGGGTCGGAGATGTTTAGTCTATTTAATTTCTGACTATATAAAACGATTTCTTCTGTTTTAAAGTGTGAAGTAAACTCCGACGAAGTAAAATCCAAGCGGATCCCGTTCATGTTCATGGTTACATCCGTGTTTGTTTACCTTTTTTGCATGCCAAAATGGCGTCCACTAACTGAGAGTCACGTGGGGTCAGGAGCTCTATAGTGCTTTTCTAGACACTCAAAGACGCTTCCCACACACTCTCACATTCACACACTGCTAGTGATGGTAAGCTACTTGTAGCCACAGCCGCCCTGGGGAGGTCTGACAGAGGCGAGGCTGCCATTTGGTGCCGTCGGCCCCTCTGACCACCACTAACACAGGCAAGTTGGGTGAAGTGTCTTGCCCAAGGACACAACAGCAGGATACCCCTGGCGGGAGCTGGAATTGAACCCACGACCCTCCGATCATGAGGCAACCCGCTCTACCACCTGAGCTACTTCTGCCCCAAATATAAGACTATGCCCACGCCATCGCTAACGCCAGTTCAAAGCGTTCTAGAGAAGTTGTCGGAGTGGCCAATCCATAACTTTCCTCTTCAGCCAAAAGAACCAACGACAAGCTGGATAAAATCTGTTGCATTTTACCAACCAAGCAACGGTTCCTTTCAGAATAAAAGCTGAACCATCACGACCCAGGTTTGGGTCTCGCTAGACGCCAACAAACTGTCGTGACCCGGAAGTATCTCAAGACGGGTGGTCGGCTGCCGTGGCTGCCTCTACAGGCTCCTGCTCCACAAGGTCAAGCTGGACCTTTACACCTCCTGATCTAAACGGGGACTTCCGCTCAGGGTATGTAGACCGACAAATGGCGTTGAATGTGTTTATAAATCTCCTAATCAAAGTTTAACGCGAATGCATCACCTTCAGTTCCCATCAGAACTAATCGCTTCTTCAGATTTGCTGGTTCTGAACAACATTACACCTCACCCCATTCACCGTCTCACTCACCTTAGTTACACCATACATTTAGTGCTAAAGTCAGTCTAGTTTAACTTGTTTAGTAATACATTTTTAAACTTGACTCACTCTCTCTCTTCTGTTGTCTCTGAGTTAATACGAAGCTGTTATCTAATCCCCGCATTAAAAAGTTCCAATCTTCTGGTTTAAAATAACCTCACAGATCCATAAGGTGGATTTCATATTTCCGATGGAATCCTACGCCTCATGGCTTATTAAATAACATGTAATTTAAATCATTACAACAGAAACCAAAGATGCAAAATAATCTTAAAACGTCCATACGAGGCGTCCTCTATCCAATCTTCGTTCTCCAGGATGGCTTCGATGTGAGGGTTAGTGATGACCACGTCGTCGAGCTCCAGCTCTGACGGTTCGCTCTGTGTCTCCATGGCCCCGATCAGATCCACCGTGGTTCTGATCCAGTCAAACAGAGGGAGAAGATGTGGAATAAAAACTCAGAAAACTACACCGTGCTTTAAAATAAATAAAATTAACCAAAGACGTTCACCATTCCATGATACGTCACATCCAATAAAATGACACTGTTTTTTTTTCCTTTTTTGGTTCAGTGTTAATCCTGCTTACCATCTTTTGTAGTTGAATTATTTATTTCTGTGGTTTTCATTTCATCTGTTATTTTTTTTGGTGGGTTTGTTGTGCTCGTTTCTTCTGCTCCTCCTTCTCCCTGTTTCTCATCTAATCAATCAGCAGTTCCTGGTTTCAGTAATCACCCTCCCATCATATTTAAGCACTTACTTCCCTGGTTTAACTCTTCTGTTTATGTTCCAGTAAGGCTCACCAGACAAATCAATAGTTGTAACTTATTTTGTTTAATAATTATAAGATCAACAATCATAGCACATCTGCCTCCTTGTCCGAATTTGGTTTATTATTTAATAAAATCACAACAACCATGACAGTTGAGCAAAGAGATAATGTGTGCGACTGAAATTAGCTCACTTTAAATGTTTTACCAATCTAACTTTAGCAGAACAGCCTCTAAACTTTCCAAATTTCTTCTGATGTGCACTGCAGCCAATCAGTGTGGGGCTGACTACTGACCAGTGATTAGAGCCCTGCACGGGCCTAAAATCTGAGCCCGTGTCCGGCCCGGCCCGAGGGGGTGGAATACCAGCCCGACCCGGCCCGAAAACGTTTTCAGGACTCTCTGGCCCGACCCGAGCCTGACTTTTTTTTTAACCAACTAAATGAAAAAGTGCGTCAATCCTGGCCAATGTGTTAAAAGACGTGCAGGATCCGATCAATTTGTTTTTCCCTCATTTACCGTCACAGAGATAACGGCGCACTGGCTCTGGTGGTAATCAAGTTTAATTTTATCTCTTTCCAACAATTTTCACAAGAAAACAAAACAGTCAAAAGCAGGGCTTGTGTTGTGTTGACCGGATAGTTCTTGTATTTGACCGTTTATTTTTACAGAGAAAGAATAGAAAGAATTACCCCGACGCATGCAGACGAACTGACATTTTATTCTACGCACATCACAGATGTAGCTAAATCACCCAAGAAAAGATTCCCATCTGAACATCTGAGCTGGACACTGCTCAGTGCAGCTCGCTGTCAGCGAGTACATAAGGTGCACAGCGAGCTGAAGTTGTGGAGATTGGCTTGGAGTGCGTCGCAGAACCAGAGCGCATGCGGGAAGGTTCCTGAAGCGAGTGTTTTCCAAACCCTGTCTCTCAGAGAGACTTGTCACTTAGAAAATGTTCCCTGATTATGAAACTTTGGCTGAATAGTGCTTGTTCCTGTCTCCAATGTGGCGACACATCCAGAAGCCGTCTGAGGAGAAGCCCAGAATCTCACATCCTCTTCAGCTCGGGAAGCGCCTACGATTACGCACAAGCGTGACGCGTCAACCCGGTCTCACAGTAAGACAGGGTTGGAACTGTTCAGGTTTACGCAGACAATCTTTACATAGAATTGACTTACAGATATAAAATTAATTCAGTAAAATATAAAGCATTTTATTTAAATATCCATTCATTATTTTACAAGCACAGAGAGCCACATCAGATTCAGATCAGCGGGAAGATTCCTCCGACTGAATTCAGTCGGAGGAATCTTCCTGCATGCGCTCTGGTTCTGCGACGCGATCCAAGCCCCTCTCCACATCTTCAGCTCGCTGTGGACCTTATATAGTACACGCTGACAGTGAGCTGCGCTGAGCAGTGTCCAGCTCAGATGTTCAGATGGGAATCTTTTCTTGAGCGATATAGCTACGTCTGCGATGCGCGTAGAATAAAATGTCAGTTCGTCTGCATGCGTCAGGGTAATTCTTTCTATTCTTTCTCCGTCAAAATAAACGGTCAAATACGGGAACTATCCGGTCAACACAAGCCCTGCTTTTAACTGTTCTGTTTTCTTGTGATAATAGATCAAATTAAACTTGATTAACACCAGAGCCAGGCGCACTGCACTGTTATCTCCGTCACTGTAAATGAGGGAAAAACAAAATGATCAGATCCTTTTCTGACCTTCCCCACCTACAAAGTTTAATTACAACAATCAAACGTGACAGAGCCTGGATTTGTATTCTGAACACTCTAAACATGTTTTAAAAAGAAACGTATGACAAAAGTGGCACCTGCTCAGTAAAACCACCAACAAGGTGAAACATATCAAAATATTGTAGGCAGAGACGGGCTAACTTCTGGATCTACTTTATATAAATCGTTTTATTGATTATCGTCTTATGAAAGATAACTTTGACGTACACGAGCGACCGGTACCGGCTGCTGTCACCTGTTGTGAGCAGCTCTCTGCTGTCTGAAGGTAGGCCCCGCCCACAACGCCGCGGCTGCTGTGGCTCCCAGTGTTTTCTTTACTGTGGGAAACGGGTAATAATGGCTCTTTGATGGGAACAGGTTACCGACCCCTGGTTTAAGTGTTTCAATTTTTTTTAATGAATTTGATTAAAAATAACGGCGCCGGGCCCGTGTCCGAGGTAATTACACAGTCGTTGGCCCGAAGCCCGGCCCGAGGGCCTAGGGCCGGGCCGACCCGAAGGCCTAGGGCTTCAGTGCAGGGCTCTACCGGTGATGTCTTACTGAAATATTTTAGTTGATGTGACTTTTAGTTGATGTAACACAAGATACACATAGTACTGACTCATCTAACGGTGAACAAACATAATGGACCAGTCTTACTCATTGTGTTGCTCCTAACGCACGCGTGCACACACACATATAATCTGTGGGTTACTGTTGCAACACATTCTCACACCCAAGGCGTCAAAATATGACGCGTGTGACCAAGCCTCAACATATGATGATTCGGGACGCCCCAGCGCGTCAGGAGATGACGCTGGGGCTGAGAATGGACACTACTTGTGAACTACTTAACCTTCCCCTCACCCCAATCTTAACCTTAAGGACACAGTTTATGGACCTTAAGGTTAGGATTGGGGTGAGGGGAAGGTTAAATAGTCGAATAATGTCCGTGTGACCGTGTGCGTCAAACAGTGACGCTAGCGGAGCCACGTGTCTTAGCGTGCCCCTGATCGTCGTCTCCTGACGCGCTGGAGCGTCCCAGATCGTCATATTGAGGCTTGGTCACACGCGTCATATTTTGACACCTTGGGTGTGAGAATGTGTTGGTTATTAACAGACTTCTGCTGAGCTCGGTGTCTGCTGATCTGGTAGCTCAACCATTGAATCAGGTGTGGTGGCGCAGGGAAACAACTTAAACATGCCGGATGCTGGCCCTCCAGGTCCAGGACTGGGCACCTCTTTTCTAGAGTTTATACCTAATTTCTAACTTTGAGAACACTACACACAATGTCACACAAGAACTTGTGTGGCCCACAATTTGAGCTGGATATTTGTAAAACTGAGTGAAAGCCACTTCTCTGTTGGCCAATATCAGTTAGCTCTGGGGGTTGGGTTACGTATAAACCGACTCCATAACTAGATGTAGATCGTGAACATCCAGTGAAGAAAAAACTGCTTAAGAGGGTGATGAGTTGTTCTAAAACCACAGAAATAATGAATTCTTCTGACCAGATGAACAGACTCTTCAGTGAGAGGATCAAATTACCTAAATATATTTGTCACAAAACATCTCTCTTAAAGCTGCTCTCACACATTTGAAAAACAAATTAGCTTTAAAAATCTTTTTCATGCCACTTAACAACTTTCCACCATAGCATAGCACAAATGAATTGTGAAGATTTAAAAAAAAAATCTAAAGTGGTTCCCTTACATTTGTTTAAAAACCCTGCCCATAACACATTTCAGATCCAAAGAAATGATTGGACAATCCGTTTGTCGGTCTCACCGAACCGCCGCACTCCCCTGAGTAATCCTTGCATGACCAGACGCCCCACTTTGTGCGGGACAGTCCAACATTTTCATTACTATTCACACTTCCCGCAAACAAAGACTTAGAGTATGTCCCGCATAATTGACAGTCTCCTGTTTCATGTTTAAATCGCGCATAAGCTGTGTGGGAAAGCTGCCTGTTGCTGTTAAAGTATAGCGCGGGGGGGGGGGGGGGGGGGGGGGGGGGCTTTAACGCAAGTCCGGAGTGCATGGAGCACACAAACAAACCACCAAAGCAGAAGCATCAGTGAGCGCGGCAGACAGAAGAGCATGAAAAATATTAGTGGCTTCATAACATATAACCATAAAAATCAGGTCTAAAATACATGGGAGTGGGTCTAAGGCAAGCTGTGACACCTGGAGAGGAACTGTGAAATAGCATGAAAGATTTTGCTGTTTACTTGTTCAAGTTTAATTCAAATAGAATATATAGTAGGCTAAATGAAATGAATGATGATTATAATGATGTTTGAGCTAAAAGTCAAAAGATATTTGTACTTTATCCCGTTATATTGGAATTTCACGTTGTCCCACGTTGAGGGGTCTCTGTCCTCCACTCATCACATACTCATGCATTTAGCAACAGAACACCACTGGTGTCTGGCTACCACTTCACTTTAGGACAAACTACCAGATTCCCAAAAAGAAAAACACTATTTGAAGCCACGGACAAACAAAAGACGTTTGGGTCTAGAAAAAGACGACTGGTTTTTAGCTCTCTCGTATCCTCTGGCATCGCATTGGTTCTGGCTAAAGCGTCTCAGGGAAGATAGGGGTGGGTTGAGGGTTCAAAAGCTAGCCTGTTTGCAGATTCATTATAACAGCTCTATAACATAAGATTGATTCAAGTTCGATACAAAAATTTAAAAGCAAACTTGGCAGTTTTGCTTGCTTTTAGCACCCCTTAGTGTCCAGTAATAACCCCGGTAAAACCGAAAATCAAACTTAGCTCCTCGCTGTGCGTTCGTCTTTTTTTTAACACCTTAAGCTATCAGCTGAAATGTGTCCCCAGCCTTCATCGGTTTCTGAAGGAGCAATTCATTACTAAATTAAACAAATCAGCTGTGTTCATGATCTAAAACATGCAGGAAATGTTCTGGAACAGCAACGCCAGGTTTGTCAGCTAATTACAACATTTTTAATATTTTTTTTTTTTTCTAAATCCAACAGGTGGCGAACCGCTAATCTGAAGTTGCAGGTCCAATATTCTGACCACAGAGGGCAGTAGGGGTCTGAGTGGCATTTCATTAACCTGGTAAAGGGCCATTTTAGCAAATACTGGCTCAAGAAAATAATTTTAAAATATGCAAAAATGACATAGTATCCCTTTACAACCCTAAACAGTTTCACTGACTTGGAGTCAAAGTGGTGCAGCAGGTTGTGAGGGTGACAGTAGCGATGTCTGCACACCACCACGAGGGCGATGAAGGAGGCCAGAAAAATGGTCGCCAACACCCCAATAGCCACAATCACCACCGTCTCCATGGCAACCCTGACTCCTGCAGTGTTTGACGTGGGGATGAAAAGAGTCCAATCAGGGTGGGCTGATTATCCGAGCTCAATTTAGGCGCTCATCTGTTGAGGAGAAAATAATTTAGTTCCAGTGTGATCGGGGCAACCAGTGAAAGAGAAGATTATCTTTCCTGTCAGGATATTTCTGGTGGAGATGTGATGAAACAAAAACTACTTCAGAGAAGAGAATATAGGTCTGTTACTGCTCCAATCAGCTGAAAAGTGTTTTTATTTTTTTAAATTATAAATTAAGTCACGTATGAAATTCTGTTCACTTCAGTCTTTGTTGAAGGTTTTTAACATCTCTAAATGGTCTCCTGCTCAGCTGTTTTCCCACAAACCTTTGCATATCCTGCACTGTAGTATGTTTTATTAGACATGAATAAAAACCTGTAGTAAGTGCAAATTTGGCACAGGGCTTAACACCCATTACAACATGGTCAACCTGCATTCTTGCCTGGATGATAGTGAGATTATGGTGTGGAATGTTGTAATTCTTTAATCTGACTGTGTTAAACTCGCTGTATCACAAAGGGCTTTCTTCAGCCTGAGAACATTTCTGACTCCTTTTGCTTTCACACAAATAAGATCTGGTCAAAACTGTGGAGCCTTAATGACTCATCAACAGGAAAAAGCACCAAAACAATATTGAATTCAGTTGCAAAGAAGGCTTCAAACTTTACACGAATTAATTTACAAATTCCAACTAAAATGAGAATACATTCTGTTTAAAATAGTTTAAATTCTGGGCAAACCCCATGGTAGTTAAGTAGGGTTGAACTTCGACAAGTTGCAGGAGCATTTTGCTTTAAAATGAGTTGTGAGAAGCTGCGTCCCAAATAAAGCTTGAAAGCAAACAATTCAACTAGATGAAGTGAAAAACTGAAATTATAACGTAATAAAAGAACGAATGCAATAAGTTCAAATACAGTAGGATGGTTCTTGTGTTGGCAGACAACACACACATGAAAAACAACTAACTGAAAGCATGAATCTCTCCTGGAAGGATAAATAACCAAAGGTATAAAACTAATCTGGATTTTGAATGAAAACAATGCTGCAATAAACACACGCACACGCGCGCGCATACACTACTGATTAAATATTCTTCTCTAATTTATTGATTCAAATTCCTTCAAAGTTCAGTAAAAGATCATTCTTGACTTGAAAGAGTCGACTGAACTCTCATTTTCCGTTACTTACCGAAACATTCTGTCCTCCTACTGCTTTTCTTCCTTTCCGGTGAGGAAACAAAAAAACTTTGCAGCCGGGAGCGTGGAGACGGCACCGAAGTCCCCGGACCTGAGACGGGAGCGCGCACTGGGCCGGAGAGCTGATGCAGCTTGCTGAGCTAGGTAAAAGGGTCATGCCCCGCATTTTTAACACGCGTCTTACGCGCATGAAGCGCGCTTTCATACACCATTTGATTCGTTTTTACAACCAGAATTCATCTTAAGAAAACATGCATGCTGAGTGCACATGTTATTATTTTTTTATCACTCATCTGTCATTTCCGGTTGCTGTTTTCTGACCTCAGTGAATCTATATGAACCCTATTTGAACTGTGTCAATGTGGTAAGTAGATAGTTCCCTTTTTCTATTGCAGAAAAGTCCGTTTTATAGGTGCTGAAGGCATTTTCACCCCAACCCCTAAAAGAGCTGCAGGCTAAAAGAACTGAGTCCATTTCTATTTATTTAGGCGTCTTCTCAAATTAAACCCAGTGTAAAAGTTCCAACATCCCACGAGTTTGCTTCATCAGAAAACATCAGATGAGAATCCTTCATAAGTGCAAAGCACTGAGCTCAGACCTGCAAATGTTACTGTCAACATCATTAATGTGAGCCTAATTCTGAAGGGTTTTCTCAATAAGAGAATGGGTCAGTAACAGGTAAAATCTCATTTTTGTGCACAGAAAATGTTTTTTATTCCATTTTCACCTCAGAGCCCTGAACACTACAGTCAACACTTGTATTTGTAGCTTGAGTACCTGCTTAATCCACTCCATCTAATGCAACCTTAGCCTCATAAACACTTAAAGCATCTGTATTTAAAATACGTTTGGCTTTTCAGTTATCCTTTCCTGCTCAGAAAACTAGAAGACTTGGTGCATTTGTACTTGCAGAAAAAGGGGGACATTTTTTAGAGGCAGAAAATGAAGGAACATTGTGTGAAACGTGTTTTTGTGTCAGACAAAGGAGAGAGGCTCAAAAATGACACTCACCGACACATTTTAGATCTGAATGAACGAGTAATCTCCTGAAGACTCACTTATTCTTAGTGTGTCTAGCTTCCTCCTATTACACCAAGTCTTTAATGACCCTGCTTTATAAAAACCTGCTCTGACTTCCAACTTTTAAGTTGATTTTCTGTCAAAAGCTGCTTTTAAATCTAAACTTTTTGACCAGAGCTTTGTAAAACAGCCCAAAGAAAAGCTGTGGAGTCTTCCCCGGCCTTGCCCCAGGGATCTCTCATCCCTGCGACTCTAAAGGCTTACAAGGCTTTTCCTTTGACAAGCAGATGGAATTGTGGGAAGCTCTCTGCTATGCGGAACAACACAATGGGTCTGGGTCGTGTGGACCTCAGATAGTGCCAGCTAGGATGCGGAAATGTCCTCGAGAGTCGCAGGCTTGTAGTCAGTCTGCTCTGCTCCTTTATTTTGTTCCTCTGTCTCTTTGGTGCTGCTAAAACCCTGTCTTGGCAGGCAAACGGAGCTAATGTTTCTCTTGTGTTGCATTAGCTGTGGATCATGGGATGGTGTATCTACACCACAACGCTTTGACGTGAAGATTATGTGCACAGTTTAAGAAGCAGAACAGTCGTCTGAGGGGATGTGATGCGGCACTGTTTCCACCAGCTGTCATCGGCGTCTGCCACTGGGGGACGAGCAGGTTGTGCAGCGACTTCCTCTCTGAGAAGAGCCTGCTGTTGTGGCTCCACGAGAGGAGATGGACTCCTTGTTCACAGCTAGTGGACATGTCCTATAACAAGTAGCCCCGTCATAGTGGGAAAATAATTCTGAGCTGCTTTTAAAACTCAAAGTTAAGAGTAAAGAGAACAAAGAATCAAGACAACCTAGCGAGCTAGGTTTTAGCTAGTACTTTATTTCCTCACATTCATGCAAGTTTTTTTTTTGGCAGTTTAACAGGTGAATACACTGAAAAAGGAATTTTAAGTATAGAAGGAAGAGGTTTCTGATTCAGACTGCTCCAGAATGAAGCACGTGATCGTCTCCTTCCACCAAAGCCTGTCCGCATGTTTACTTTGTGTTGTTGCATGAGATAGTTTTAATGTTATTCGACCACAGCAGCTATGATGTCATCATGTCTCCATTTTGTTTTAAATCTCTGGCATCAAAGGCAACGAGGAATCTACGTTCCCTCAAGGAATGCTGGGTCTTTACTTCCTTTTTCCAGAAAAGTCACAACTTTATCACAGCCCAGATGGTAGGGTACAATTTAGCCTTTCCTCCTTCTTACAAACACAAATCACAGCATTCCCTTGGCCACAGTATTCTGGTGTTACTCTCATGTCACGGCATAGTCGCACATCATGGGGAGCCCTACCGACTATGGGATGAGGGTGGGAAAAGCTTGTCACTCTCCTGCTAATTGCTGCCTGCTGGGACTTAAAACAACAAGAGGAGATGAGTGAAAGTGACCTAAAACAAGCTTGCTTCAGGCTGCGCCTCCTCAGCTTCTGTCTGAAACCGCTGCAGCTTTAACCCGTTGTTCATTCTGGCAGGGGTAAACCTTCTGTTGACAGAAAAAATGTTGACAGGCTTCACTGCTTTGTTTGGTAGCAACAGATGAGCCGTCACACACTTGGACCGCTGCTGCTTTTCCCACTTTTATGAGGGAGAAATCACCTCATTAGGCCAGTTACTCATTTAGGCTTCACAAAAACCTCATTTAAGAACTGCCAACACCAGAATATTACTGGTGCATGCAATTAGATGATGCAGCTGTGTGTGTGTTACAATCAAAGGTTGTAAGTTGTTTTGTATTCATAATGTTTCTTAGTGCAGGTGCCCACATCCAATTGGTGAACCAGTGGCCTGGAGAGAGTCCTGATTGGATAATTGATGGGAGCAGACCTTTAAGAGGGACGTCAACACCACTTGCAGCTGATCCTCATTCTCTGCTCATCCCAACCTGCCACCATCCACCTAGTGTCCTGTGTTGAGTGCTGTGTAAGACCTGTTGTTAAACTTGTGGAAAGTAGGGCTGAACCTGCCATTTAAGTTCTTCATTCAGTTTTCTCCTGTTTTTATAAACCAGGGAGGTAAGTTTGGTTGTATTTCCTTTTCTATTTTATTTTGTAGGTAAGATGATTATTTAAGTTAGGGGTGTTTTGTTTGTTGTTTTGGCCTTTGGTTCACCCTGAATTATATTTATCCTCCCTCGCTTTCAGTTATTTTACAACTTGTAAATAAAAATCCTTGTATATAAGTCGAACTGTGGTGTGGTACTTGGGATCTGTGGAGAATGGTAATCCACCTTCATGTTGTGGCCTGGCCTCTCATAGACAGGTTGTAACAGTGCATTTGTGTTTAAAATGCACTTCATGCTTTGTTGTATGCAAATAAGTGTTCAAATAAAAATATTTTCATGCATTTCTATGCACATTGGACAAATGTGTGTTTCTTTTAACCAGAACCATAAATTCATAAATCCCAAAGAGGAAATCTGGAATTCAGGAGCTGCATTTATTGTCAGCTAGAAAGAAACATGGCAGAGATTTTCTGCTGAGCAGCTGCAGGTCATCCTACACATTTTTAAGTTCAAGACAAACACAATGATGTAAGCTTAGGGCTCTTGATTCATGCTGGTGTTTCACTCCTTTTAGATGGAAGCATTTTGTAAAAACGGCAATCAGGTAAAACATTTTTAAATCGATCATTTCTGCAGAATTTGGGCTCAGTTTCCATGGCTTCCTTCAGCTTCTTTCTCATTTGTCTGTGGTTTTTATTTCTCTGTTCAGTGATTTTTCTCATCACATCTAATTTTGTATTCTTCCCAACATTTTCAATCCAATTTAATTAAATCAAATTTGATTCAAGTGATTTTTTTCACTCCTCAATTCCTTGTCACTGCAGGATGTGGTTGAGAGTCAGCCTCTACTGGATTCTAGTTTTAATCCGTGAAAAACAGCTTCCTGTCTACAAAAAGCTGAAGGGGAGATCAGAATGGGTTTTATCTTTGTGGCTGGTAAACACATAGATCTTCATCCCAGACAATAGGAAGCTGAGGCCAATGGACCTCTGACACTGATGGTTGGACAGCGAGAAGGTGAAGGAGTTCACGTGAACACAATACCCTCCAGCCTAGGAAATCTACAAAGTTGGAGATACAGACAGCAGAGTCAAATGTTTGTGTGGTTCAAGGATGAGAAGAACGTGATTTTTACCCTCATCTCAATAATGCTGGAGCATGTTGATTTCTTAAGATGTCGCATCGTCAAGTCTAAAAAGCTAATATCCTGCTTATTCATACCCTTTGAGAAGGTTCTCATTGATAGAGCTTGTTTTGATGTTTCACCATGGTGTTCACTCCCCTGCATCCTCATCAGAAAGGTCTAGCAGCTATTCTTGCTTTTCTTTTTCCATGTTTAGCAAACCAGATAGCATGTGGCACCATTAGCTGACACACCATCTAACAAAAATGGACCTGACTCTCCTTCAAGACTCCAGTTTGAGGGATTTGTTTTTTACTGTGAAAAGCAGACTGAAGGAGAATAAAGTGGAGAAACCCTAAGCATTGTGTAGCCTTTTGGTCATTTTAATGATTCCAAAGCAAACCAGTTGGAATGGTGACATAAAAAAACAAACAGCAAAAAAACCTAAACAAAGCAACAAACAAAAAAAAGGTTCAGGTGTGATTCTGACCATATTTACTGTAGAGTACCTTTGTCTCTCCTAGCATTCATAACAATCAACTGCTGTCCATTAAGATAAATTATTCCAAATAGTTGGCAGAGCCATGCGCTAGGGTTAGCAGGGACTTCATTCCATTCGCACCTGCTCTGTGCAACTTGAACATAATCCGTGATATTCTGGATGTTCTGGAACCAGATTTTGAGGTTAGTTCTGAGGAAACATTGGAGCGCCTTATATAACCACAAGCAGTCTGCTCTCTTCCTCTAGAAATGTTTGACTTCTCAGTACTAATTAACTAGGATTTAAAAGTTTTTATCGGTTAGTAAAAATGGGTCAGTTTGCTCATTTTTGTGGTTCAAGTCCAGATTATCTACGGTTCCTGATGTTTGGGTCGGGGTCCCACGTTCGGTTATAAAACACACAGTTAAAGGTCTTGACATAATTTATATTAGAAAGATAAAGTATTACTAATAAAATGTCTTCAATAAAATGATGTAAAAACTCAAGTTAAAAGGTATGACTTTGATATGATTTTTGAAGTACATGTTTTAGTTGTTTTTCTGATATTTTGTATTAAGCTTTTTTTATTGTTCAGTGACCTTTGGTGTCTTTACAAACAATTTACCAAACTAAAACTAAAGTGTTGAATCCACTGA